TCCATGTGTCATGTGACCACTGCACAGCTGTAGCTTCTCCGAATACATGTACAATGGTATCACCTGAAATAAAAAATATGTTATGCCATGAAAAAAAGAAGTCCAGCTTCAGACTAAGTTGGTTATTGGGAACAACTGGGGGTGTGTTATTTTTGTCACGTTCGACTTCATAGTATGTGTTATACGTGTTGTGTCATCCTTAGATTTGCTAAATTTTCAAATTTCGGTGTGGTCATGGAGGTAATAAGAATAACCTATGTCTCGCGATGTATCGTGATAGTGGATTGGAATATGAATAGATCTCCTGTAATTTTGTGAGAACTAATGATAATCCTGTTGCTCAGCAACCTTTACTCAGTACGATAAAAACTGATAACCTAAACATACGTGGCACGCATTACTTCAAAAGAAAACGCAGCACTGCCAGTCTGTTGTTTTAGTAGTCTGAGGTCCAGCATATATTTTGTTGGTAGCTACTTAATCTAACAGGAATAGTTTGGCTTTTCGCAAATGCATTGCAGCTTTTGATTTTAGCAGAAAAAAACAAACATTAGGTCAGGGGGACTGTCAACAATCTAATTATAGATTTACAACTCTTGACTTGATGCAAAATTCCATTCTTGTATACACATCATGAATGACTCCTTTCACTATCAAAATTACAGTTGAAACTTCTGCAGACATTGACCATAGGTCACCCTGAAAGCTACCGAACACTTAATGATATGCAGAAATAAACAAGAAACGACCATGCAAGAACCTCCTCAAGGATCATTATGCACAAGTCAGTAGAGTGACCTTTTTTAAAACCGATTTGATTGTTCATAGTCTTAGCATATATATAATACCATTTAAGCATAATATTCTATGTTAACTTTAGACATCACGATTGGATGAAAATTATTTCCCCTTGTTATTTTACCATTTTTGTCTTGGCTATAGGAACTATGACAAATTACGACGCCATCTCATGAGGGACAATACTATGCATTAGAATTGATGACATGGACAAGTGTGTGCAAATGATGAGATTAAAATGCTTAAGGTTCTCAGCACAGTGGCCACCAAACGGCCATTTTGAAAATTTTCTGAAAAACAAAATTATGTGCATGAAGGTACCAGGGGTTTTTCTAGAAAATTCTAAGTTAAAATGGAGCATTCTATGGCTTCCTAGTGGCCAAAATTACTATCAGACAGGTCACAGTTGAAGACTGTGGCCACATGTGATCCCTGGTCAATCAGAATTGTAAGGTTGCCAGAGGATCTGCTCCCCAGTAGCAACCGTACGTACTTCTCGGCCGGTCCCTCTTCGATTTTCTGATCTCTATTTCTCAACTGAGCAGCATGTCTAAGCGAGAGCTATAAACTCGTCGTCTGTACGCCATAAACTCGCAGCGATCAACTGTGTCAAGAAAAGGTGAAACCAAGTCAAGGGTTGCACGTGATCTAGCAGTCGGTGGGTCCACTATTCGTGGGTTGGTAAAAAATGAAGAAAAGCTGAGGAAATTTGTTTTCGAAGTTGACCAAGAGACGGGACTGAAAAGAAAACGTGCGAAATTATCCGCTAACAATGACATTGATAAAGCTGTTTACATATTATTTCTTCAAGAACGGTCTGCCGTAAATCTACTCTCTGGTCCCATCACCTAATGCAAAGCATGCAGCCTCGCCAAGCAACTCGGACATGACGACTTTGAATTTGAGGCCAGTTCAGGCTGGTTCTGGAAATGGCAAAAAAGACATGCTATACACGAAGTCTCAATCCAAGGCGAAGTTCGATCTGCGGACATGGACGCTGTCAGAACTTGTCCCGAAAACTGAGAGAAATTATCTATGAAGGTGGTTATTCTGACGAACAAGTTTATAATTGCGATAAAACTGGTTTATTTTGGAAGATGTTACCGTTGAAGTCGCAAGCAACAGCAAACGACCCACATAATATCAGACACATACAAACTAAACAATGCATCACTGCAATGTTTACAACAAACAATCATGATCGATTCTTATTCGAATACTGCCTGATACAACATACAAATTGTAAATATGTTTCTAACCTTTCAATTAACTTGTGTATTTATTAATCATGATCGTACCATGGGTGTATATGTGCTTTTTATATGTTTTCAATGCACGACTCCCCCCTTTCACAAGGCCCCTCGGTAAGTCGCGACCCTCAATAAAATGCAGTTTTTGCTTGGATCCCAACACCTGCAAATTAGCGAGGGGCCACTGTAACAATATATTCCTTTATTCTTATGTTTAAAGGGCGTCCTGTTCGATATAGGACTCATAGCGACGTATACAACGCATGTAAAATACATTGTTTATTTACATGAAAATCGAACACGCGCTGCGCGACGACCACAGCGCTTTAATACATCACCTGCTGACATTGACCAATTTTTAGCTCCGCTGTCGACTTTGTCGAGCGGAGCTTATTATATGAGTGATTGTCCGTCGTCGTCCGTCGTCGTCGTTCGTCCGTCGTCGTCCGTGTCAATGTTTTACTTTTTCGACTTCTTCTTGAAAACTACAAGCCTAAATGCTTTGATACTTGGTGTATATGTACCTTGGGTAGACCTCTCTTAGGTTTGTTCATTTCATGTTGATATCTTTAATTCTCTAATTTTGGTGAATATTTTTGTCATTTTTGGTAAAAACTGATATTTTCGACTTCTTGTTAAAAACCGCAAGTGCAAATGCTTTGATATTACATATATAGGTACTACATGTGGACCTCTCTCAGATTTGTTTATTTCGTGATGATATCTTCAATTCTCTAATTTTGGTGAATATTTTTGTCATTTTTGGTAAAAAGTGATATTTTTGACTTCTTGTTAAAAACCGCAAGTCCGATTGCTTTGATATTACATATATAGGTACTACATGTGGACCTCTCTCAGATTTGTTCATTTTGTGATATCTTCAATTCTCTAATTTTGGTGAATATTTTTGTCATTTTTGGTAAAAAGTGATACATGTATTTTCGACTTCTTGTTGAAAACTGTAAGTCCGATTGCTTTGATATTACATATATAGGTACTACATGTGGACCTCTCTCAGATTTGTTCGTTTTGTGATGATATCTTCAATTCTCTAATTAATTTATTTTGGTAGTATTTTTGTAATTTTTGGTAGAAAGTGATATTTTCGACTTCTTGTTAAAAACTGTAAGTCCGATTGCTTTGATACTATTCATATTGTTCATTTTCTAATGATGTCTTCAGTTCTTTAATTGAAATGTGCATTGCTAACAGCGGAGCTATCTCAGCCGATAGGCTGCTTGTTTAGCTATCCGTAGAAACAGGAAATGTGATAACAAAATTGCATTATGGGTAACTATTCCAGACCACACTTGGGTTGTGTTGCTTTGTTTACAGTCATACTTACCAGGTTTAAAGACTTCACTTTTTAATTCCCCTTCCTTCCATTGTCTAAAGCTGCCAGTTAGGATAGTATCCGATATATTAGCCCAATATCTCCCTTTGTTAAAGAAGAAATATAGATTTGAAATGGGTTATTGAAACAAGGCATAGAAAGCAGGAGAATACAAACAAATCAATATTTCATACACACTATGCATGCTGGGAATTTTTTCATTTCAATCCCTGGTATATACGGAATGAATGTATCTATTATATTTATTTTTCAAATTTTAGCTTTGTTTTATTTTAGATTGCACCAATTCTTCTTCAACAGTGCAATTTTGGTAATAATATGGGATGGTGATACAATAATATACAGTTTCCATGGAAATGATTTCATTCTTGTTAGCTCGAAATGGGTTAAAGAGCGATAGTCGTCGCGCCACACATGAGCGAGATATATAGGTCCCATCATGGAAGGTATTAACGGAAGGAGCCACGACGCTATTGTTTTAGCTTTGCCCCATGATCGTTTGTCAATGTTTGTTCACAAACATTGGTTTTGTTAGCTCTTAACAACTTCGTACAATGGGTTGCGCTAGTCTCGAGCATTCGTTGATATTCGGAGCATGTTCGGAAGTGATAGACGAACCTCGCATGTAAAATGCTGAAAATGGCGTCCAGTTTGAATGCTGTTGTTTCCGGAGATCTTAGCGAACTTTAATGAAAAATTAGCAGACATAACATTGATTGGAGAAGAACTGATGAACTATCGTGAATCTTTTTGTATTTGTAACGGTGATGAGACTTAATCAATGATTGCCTGTGATAATAACGACTGCATTATTCAATGGAACCATTGTCATTGCGTGGGTTTGACGCCCGAAACTATTGAAATTTTCGACCACCGGGCATCGACGAACACCACCAGAAAAGATAGGATCAAAAGAAGGGCATGCCTAGACACTTTCTCTGTGATAATATTTTATAGGAGTCCTTAGGAATTTTTGTTGTAGACACTCAAAATCTTGTTAGGGGCCCAAGCCTGTAGGGCGTGGCCCCTATTCTTATTGTTCGGTTTTTTCTTCTTTAAACTTCTTCTTCATCTTCTTCTTTCTTCCGTAACTTTTTTCGTCAAGCCGTTTGAGAAAACTGCTGAACAGAATGGTCTGATAATGCTCTATACTGATAGTCCATAATGTGAA